CCAGGCGCGGCTGGGTGCCTCGGGCGGCTCCCACGGCCTGGTGCGGAGCGACACCGGCCACTGGAGCGCCCCGTGTCTGGCCGGCAAAGGGAGCAGCGACCTGCTGTGGGGCGGGGTCCCCCAGTACTCAAGCAGCCTCTGGGGCCCTCCCAGCAGTGACGACGGCAGGGTGATCGGAAGCCCCACCCCGCTGAACACGCTGCTGCCCGGCGACCTTCTCAGTGGGGAATCCATCTAGGACCGAGAGGACCCCACGGGCACCACAATCAGCAGCGCTGGGAAGAGAAGGCTGACCCTTTCCAGTCCGGGCGGCGCTGAGGACCCCGCTTGGCCCGGAGCAGCCCGGCAGCCCTTGAGTACCTCCGTCCAGTACTGGGGACGCATGTCCGCCGCGGTCCTTGCGAACTGTCCACAGGACAGTGCGGGCTGCGCTTGGTCAGTGTCACACGCTAATGACAGGATGTTCCTCATAGCTTTTTATTTTGTGTCGTCTTATGTTCGTATGGTGTGTCGTCATTTTGATTTTTTAAGTATAAAAGCTGCTTAGACTAGTTCTATCATGAAGGGCACTTTTCAGATCGTGGGCTGGAAAGGGTTATTTTATCAAGGGGGGCGGGAGGGAGGGAGACGAGAAAGCCTATGTAAAACGAGCCTGTGACGATTATGCACATTACCAGAGGCGGCCCGTAGTCAGGGCGGCTGGTGTCCATCCCTGGGCACAGAGCGCGGGCTCCACGCGGCCGCCTGCGCTCTGCCCTCCGCTCCCACGGGCCCGCCTATGCACATTACCCTTGTTTCATTACTTTTTCCTGTCATTTTTTTTAATCCCAAAAAATATTTTTTAAAAGTTAAAAAAAAAAAAAAGACATATCGAACATGCAAATACTTGAATCCAGCAGGCCAACAAGGAGACGCGTGCGCTTGCCGCGTCCAGTTCTGCACTCCCAAGCTGACACCAGTGCGCAGAGACAGGCTCCAGGAAACATTTCTGAGTTCACAGCCTATGTGCGTGTGTGCGCGTGTGTGTGCGTGCGCGCGTGTGCGCACCCCTCTGTGTTTGTGTGTTAAGCGTGTGAGGATTTAACTGTGGGTTTTCCCTTTTATTCAGTATATGCTTTTTTTTTTTTTTTTTGGCGCATTGGTCCAACGTTTGTTACTATTATTAGCTTCTAACTTTGCACTGAGTGTCCCTGCTCTTCCTTTCGCTAATCCTATACGTTAAAGAGAATTCATAGGACAGGGCCGGTGACAATTCACGTGTAAATGTTTACTCAAGGACTCTGTTACTGCGTTTAAAAATTACAGTGTATATCTCTGGATAAATAATATGTATACCTACGTTTAGCAGCTTTTTATTGTGGACTAATGCAAGAGAATTATTACCAGAGTATTGCACCATGTTTCCATTTGGAATATAAAGCGAAAGAGAAGACAGCTGGTGCTGGACCGTGGCCATAGATACTGGTGAGAGCCACCGGCCCCGCACGAGGAGCGGGGCCAAGCACTTGGACCTGGGTGGTGACCGCTTTCGGAGGGGCCCGTGCTCAGGGCTCCCACCTGTTTACAGACCCTTTTTTCTCCTTCAGACTTTAAAATTAAAAAAAAAAAAAAAAAAAAAAAAAAAAAAAAAAAGAGACTTCCGTGGTAAAGAAACCTATTTTCCGAATGCAGATTCGCTACTTCAGAGCTCTGGGATTGAACAAGTGTCGTCGCTTCCCTCCGGCCATCGTTGTGGACTGTCGAGTGTCCCCTTCGTCGAGGTGACGAGACGTTGTGGTCACTGTCTTGCACATGTGGACGCGCTCTCAGGAAAGCCAGGGTTCCCGAGGGGCAGCTCCACACCATTTCATGTATTTTGTAACCCGACTCCTAGCACTGAAGATGTTATTAAAAAACAAACAAAAAAAAATAAAAAGAAAGAAAAAAAAGAAAAAAGGAAAAAAAAAACCACAAAGAAGAAAAATACCTAATCTCTAATGTGTAGCAGTTACATATTTACCAAATAACGGACTCAAAAGAAATAGATGTTTGAAGAGTGCTTTATATATTAAAAATTGCTTTATGTTTTAAAAATGATCAATGTTTTGATTGTTTTGCAAGAAAGAAAGACAATGGAGTAACATACCCTCAAGTATGTTTTAAAAATATATGAACATTGTGCTCCCTGCCTGCTTGATCAGGAAACTTGTGCATTACATTTTTTTTAATTAGCTTTTTAATGGTTTTATCAAAACAAAACAAAACAAAAAAAGAACAAAAAACAAAAAATTTAAAAAAAACAAAAAAAATTAAAAAAAAAAAGAGAAAGTCCTGCAAAATTGCAGATCGACAAAAGCTGGTTTTATAGAGGATCATGAACTATGCACAAACCGGGTTCAAGACTTGTTTTCTGAAGTTTAGTCGTGTATTTAGCTAAACAAACCTTCCTCAGAGTAAGTGCATCTCATTGCCGTTACCTGCGTCCTATGTATTTGACGTACACGTACTTAGGCGTGTACGGCAAATATATGTGCGAGCGCGCGTGCGTGCATGCGTGTGCGTCCAGACAGCGGGCCGTGCTGCCGCCTAGCATCGGGTTGTAGAAAAACGGAGTTTTTAAAATTGGGGATGGAAGTGAAGACGCTTTATTTGTTTGTTTTTGTTTTTTGTTAATTTTTTTTGACCTTTTCTTTTGAATTAAAGATGTCTGTAACTCTGAGATTAAGAAACAAGTTTGTGGCTTTTAATGTTTTTTCCTCATAGAATGTGATCGTTAAAGAACACGCACCGAGAGTTGCTTTCAAAAGGACAACGCTTTGTTGAATCTTAATAAATTGCAATTTTTTTCTTGGCTGTTCAAATAAATGTGTTTTTTGTTTTTGTTTTTGTTTTTGTTTTCCCAAGGACAGGTATCCTCGATTTTCACTTTGTATGTGCTGGGGGAGAGAGCGCGCCCCTCTCTGATGGCCTCCGAGCCGACGCGAGTAAGGAGACGGAGCTCCGGATGCCGGCTGGGTGGCGGATAATGTTCTCTCATTTGTCTCGTACCTTTGCAGTTCGCACTGAAGCCCCACCTCGGATGGTCGAGAGCCTGAGACGCAGCCAGGGCCTGCGGCCCGGTTTGGGCGTCAGAAATATTTGAACAGAAGCGCATGATGGAGGTCTTCTGTGTTTCCTAGACGTTTCCTCGTTTATCCTTGTAAAACAACCCAAAATAAGCCGTGGAAGGTACGTTTCACGAAGCACTGGGCACGAGCAGAGCGGGAGTCCAGGCACGGCCAGGACGCGGTGGCTCTCTCGGGGGCCGTATCTCCCTCCGGCGGCAGCCAAAAGGCGAACACTTCGGTTGTTTTCTCGGGTCCGCGCCGAACACCGTGACCTTAGAACGGTTCCGGAAGCATCGGCGCCTCCAACCATCAGGATGGTGAAGACGGTCTCTGGGAGACCAGCCGGCACGTCCGCCGCTGTGACCACTTGCCCAGAGACTGGCAGGGCGAGGGTCTGTCTCCGCCCCCCTTCCGCGGCGGGAAGGCAGGCCCCTGGACTCCTGGCTCCGCCCCACCTCTTTGCAAAGCTGCGCAGGACCGCGCCGAGGGGCTCACGGTCCAGCTCACGGCCGGGAGAAGCGCAAGACCAGAAGGGATGGAAGCCGGAAGCCGGGCAAAGCGCACCCGGCACTCCCAGCAAGCAGGTGCAGTGTCCAGGGTTTCTGCGAGAGAGCAAACTGGCAGCGCCTGCTCCCCAGGGCGACGGGCTCAGCGCCCCGAAAACATCCAAGGGGCGCGCCAGGCTGGAGGTGGGGCCGCCCCGGGCCCGGGAGGCCGGATCAGATTTTAACGGGCTGCGGAAAGCTGGGGACGGGGTGGGCGACCCAACGTAAGCCCAGGTCGGGAGTGACTGCTCGTGGGCCGGGAGTGGGCAGCGGGGGTCCCGGTGCCCACAGTACAAGAGGAGGCTCAGGCGTCTGGAATCGAGAAGAGGGTAGGTGCGGAGCTGCGCTTTTTAAAACGTCCTGGCAACACCTGGGGAGAATGGCAGACAAAAGACCGGATGCCCGGTGGGTGGTAGCAGAGTATGCAGAGAAGGGGCTGTTCCAACAGCCAGGAGGCCCGAGGAGGAGGCATCAGGGGGAGGGGGAGGGGGAGGGGCGAGCACGGATTCCCGCGACGGAGAGGAGACGGGAGATGCTGAGCAGCTGAGCCCATGTTCGTTGACCAGAGCGAAACGCAGAGCAGCATTTCAACAAGATTCTTCCCTGGTGCGGTACGCTCGGGACGGATCGAGGGAAACCCCCAAGGAAGCGTGACCGGAGTCATAATTAATTTGCCAGCTTTGCGCGTCGCATCTCGGTGCAAACGCAGTTGATGAGCTCCCCTTGCGTGACGCTGTCTGACCAGGACCCGGATAAGCAGCAGGCCCGGCCGGCGCCCCGGTTTGGGAAACGGAAGCACGTTTCCCAACACCCCCTCCCTGGGCACTTCTGCCTTGGGCTTAAGAGACTGTGTCAGATGCTACACAAAGCTGCGTTAGAATTCTCTGGAAACTTTTTTTAAACCCCAGTGCCAGGACACCTCCCACACTAAGCAAGCAGAATCCCTGGGGGCGGGCCCCGGCCCCCGAGTTTTAGTCTCCCCATTTGGCTCCATTGAGCAGCCAGAGCCGAGCAGCAGTGGCCTGGAGGAATCTTTTATCAGCCCAAAAGCTCCGTCAACCTCCTGGCCCCTGGAAGAGAAATTTCTTTCTTTTCTTTTTTTTTTTTTTTTTGCGTTTATTTTATTTTTGAGGGACAGAGACAGAGGGTGAGTGGGGGAGGGGCAGAGAGACAGAATGTGAAGCAGGCTCCAGGCTCCGAGCTGTCAGCACAGAGCCCGATGTGGGGCTTGAACCCACGAACCGCGAGATCATGACCTGAGCTGCAGTCAGACATTCAGCTGACTGAGCCACCCAGGCGCCCCTGAAAGCAATTTCTAAGTGCTCAGTTGGTCTCTTTTGGCAATTATAGATCACTTTTTTTTTTTTTGGCAAAATCCCCGTGCCAAGCGTGGTGCTAAGCACCGTACAGGACCTGTCATTTGCTCCAGCAGCCCCACGAGGTGAGGAACCCGGCTGGGCAAGGTCACAGAGCAGGCGCGAGGCTATCAGCTCAGAAGGGTCAGGATCCGGGCCCGTCCGACACCCCAGCCCTTGCGCAGGCCCGATCCCCCGGGGGCTCCGGCGCGGGAGGAACGTGGTGAGATGCGCTGACCCGAGGATCTTGAGGCCGCACGCTGTCAGAAACAGCACGATGGGAGGCGGGTGTCCAGGAGGAGAGTGGGCTCACGTGGGAGCCGGGCCGGCAGGAGTCAGCGCTGCGGTCCTGGGGCAGAATTTCTTCAGAAAACCTGTGTTTTGCTCGTAAGGTCTTTCAACTGATTGGGTAAGGCCCACACACATTATTGGGGATAATCTCCCTAAAGTCGGCTGGCTGTACGTGCTAAACACACCCGCGAAACGCCCTAACGGCAGCGCCCGAGTAAGTGCTCGAGTGAGTGAGGGACACACACAGCCGTCACACGAGGTAGTTCTACAGAAACCTGGGCAGGCCTTTGACTTGTCAGAGCAGCTTGGCCTGACCTCACAGGGGCCACGAGGCAGCTCAAACTGGGAGTGGTCTGTCTGTGCCCGTTTAGAGGCAGGTGTCAGGAAGGGCGTGTCGCAGAGTCCTTGGCCAGCCTGCCTCCATCTGGACGCCCGTCCAACTTCACCCCGACGTGCTCCTGCCCAGGATGAGCACCAGCCATCTGCAGGGATCCCTAAGACCCATGTTGGGACTGGCCACGGCAAGCCAGGAATCGAGCTGTCGGGGGCATCGAGGGCACCGCCCCCCACCTACAGAGAGTGCCAGGTGAGCCTCCGGGGCCACATCAGTGGATGGACCTGTCCCTGCACATCTGCGAACAGTCATACGCGCCCCCACCCCCCGTGAGACCGTCCTCGGAGAGGGGACGGTTCAGGTGGGCGTGGGCCCGGCTGGGGGCACTGCTGGTGGTGGTGTCTCCGCCGTGGGTTTGATTGGCGCTCCCCACTGCCTCGCCCAGGCCCGAGCTGTGCTCTTCTGGATTCCCCTGTGGGATGAGGAGTCGTGGGGCCATCTCCCCGGCTGCCACAGACCTGGGACACGGGGGGCCTGTGACGGCCTCTCCCCGCCTTCCCTTACTCTCGGGTTCATGGCATCCCCACAGGATCGCCAGGCCGTCCCGGCCTGCGTGCTGGCTGCCCCTCTGCCTGGCAGGCTCCTGTCCCCGTGGCCCACTGCTAACTGGGACGCCGTCCCCCAGCCTCCCTAACTGTGCTCTCCACACCCCCAGCCCTGTAACCGCGGGATACCACCGCTGAGAGCTCTGTAACCCTGGACACCCCCCACACTTGCTCCTTGCCTGCCTGGCTGCCCGCACAGGTGCCAGCCACCTGGCACAGTCTGGCCAGGGGCACCTGTCAAGCTGTGGGTTGGCCCACCTGCCATCTGAGGCTCTGCCAGCAGAGGGCGCCCTGTGCTTAGCGCCAGACCCTCTCACCCCTGCGGAGGGAGGGAAGAGAAGCCTCCAGCCAGAAAGAGGAAATAAAGGGGCCCTAGGTTCCCACGCCCTCTGCATGGACGTCATCCGCAGGCAAGGGGAGGGGACACAGCACAGTGATGCTTGGGCGCCCGGCTGGCTCGGCTCTGAGCACAGACTCCCAAGAGAGGCCCACTCTGCAAAATATTTTTACCAGAATAAATAGAGTCCCGAGCAGGATCTAGTCCACTGGGGGAGGGGGGGGGGGGCTCCAGCCCCACTCGCCCACCCTCCAGCTCCAGCCTCGATGGGCTGCAGCCACCCTCCCCGTGGCCCAGTGAGGTTGTCCAGTGCGTGCACCGTCTCAGGTTGGCGTCTCTGCCTGCGGGGCCGTGGAAACGGAGGGTGACGGGCACGGGCGGTACTTGTGAGCGGATGCAGGGCTGTCCTAGCGGGCGTCCGGATCCTCCTCGAGCCTCTTGGCCTCCTGGGTTCTACCACCCCTGCCAGAAGGGGGAGTCAGCAAGGGGCCCCTCTGTCCTGGGGGCGGCAGCGGGTCACCCACCCAGGAGGCTGAGGAGTCGTCCAGCCAGACACCCAGCAGCCCTTGTCAAGGGGCTGCACTCAGACACACACACACACACACACACACACACCCGCCCCAGCCAAGGGTAAAGAAGCTTCTGGAGAGCCTGAAAGGGGCTGGACAGACCTCCAGTGTGTCTGTAGGCTGGGCGGGGCTGTCGGATGGCTCAGTCTACAGGTTCCTGCTGCCCAGGGATGAGCCCCGGGGCCTGGATTGCCCTCCTCAGCCTGCCCAGCCTGCCCGGGCGGGGCGGGAGTCTGTCCCCAGGTGTCTGTCTGTCTGTCTGTCCGGGCAGCAGGAAGACAGGTGGGCTTGCCCACACGTAAGAGAGGAGCAAGAAGGGAGGCTACAGCAAGCTGCACCACCCCGCCCGGAGCGTGCACCCCCCGGGAACTGAGGGGCCAGCTCTCGGGCACCCCAACTTAGAAAGAAAAGGGCGTGGCGGGGAGGACAGGAGGGGAGGGGAAGGGAGGGCCTCAGAGCCCAGCTCGACCCCACCCCTGCACACGCTTCTCCTCGGCCTTCCTTTGCCCACCAGACTTCACCACGCCTGAGCGGGGAAGGTAGGAAGGAGAGCAGCCGGGGAGGCCAGCGCCCCGGCCCTCCTCACCCCTGCTCTGCACCAAGTGCCCGACCCCGCCATGGCCCGTCACCTGCTCCTCTCCTTCTTCTCGTAGACAGAGTGAAGCTTGTTGATCAAGAAGATTTTGTCTTCCCCCTCCTAGAAAGGCCAGAACACAAAGAGTGAGGGAACAGTTGTCCATCCGTCTGTTCAGAACGGTCCGTAGGGAGCTCACAAGGACTGTTGGACAGGACAAGCACTAAAGGTTTAAGGGGAAAAGAGGCACCAAACAAGGATGGAAAAACCAAGAGCCAGGCAATGGGCATACATAGAGATCTAAGCTTCCTAGCGGCCAAGGTGAAAAGGGAAATGTAACGGGGGCCCAGTGAAGGCCAGAGAGTCAGCCTGACCCAATCTAAAACTGGTCCTGCCACTTACTAACTCTGCACTGGGCAAATTACCTCCTCTCTGACCTCAGAGTCACCATCTGTAAAAGGGAGATAAGAATGTCGGCCTCAAAGGGCTTGTGTCCCTTTCTACTGTTGTTCTGACCAATTACCACAAACTTAGCAGCTGAAGACAACACAAATTCATCCTTCGGTTCTGGAGATCGGAAGTCCAAAATGGGTCTCACTGGGCCTAGGATCAAGGTGTCGGCCAAACCGGCTCCTTCCACAGACTCTGGGGAGCATCCTGGCTTGCCTTCTCCAGCTTCTGCAACCCGCCCCCAGCCCTGGGCTCGGGGCCCTTTCCGTCCCAACTGGTGGATCTGGAGGGCTGTGCGCTCAGTCAGCCACCCGGTTTCCCAGGCCCCGGGAAAAGCCACTCGGGGAGCTAGCTGAGCTCAGACCTGCAGCCCCCAAGGCCGCAGACCTGGGGCGGGGCCTGGCCTTGGGCAGACGCGGTCTGCAGCAAGGGCCCGCCTGGAGACCCATCCTGCCGCTGGCCGCTGGCCCCGCTGGCCGAGAACTAGCAGGTGGAGCTGTGCGGCCCCCACCCCCACCCCCAGCACGCGCCTGGACGAGGCGCGGCCCCCAGCCCCACGTGGATGCCGGGCCACAGGCACAGTTGGCCCCAAAGTGGCCCGAGCATTGGGTGCACGAGTCAAAAACCCCAGAAGGAAAACAGCCCTGGGAGGGCGGCGTCTGTGCGGGGACCCGCTGTCGCCGGCCGGTCCCGCCAAGCACCCAGCCCGGACCCGGGCAAGACACCTTCCCCAGCTGGGAAAATGCCACCCAAGCGACCCAGATGCCACAGTCACGTGCTTTTAACATGACAGGAGGCCCAGCAACCCAGCGGGGAAAGCGCCACGCTCGGGGCAGGAGGGACGGTCCGCAGGGCAGGGCCGGGCGGCCTCTCCACGTGGGCTTGGGTGGCAGGGGATGGGCGGATCCCGAGGGGTCCCAGGAGGGAGCCGCGCCCCCGGCTTCCGGGCCCACCCTGCCTCTCACACTTTCCCGACAAACTGCAACGTGCTTCGTAAAAATGTTTTAAATCCCGACCCGCTTTCAACCTCACTCCCCTGGTTTGTGAAACGGAGGCACGGAACGGGGTCCGCGTCCTGACATGAGTCCCCTAGGGAGTCCAGCAGCTGTTTCCATGTCTCAGAGATCCTCCCAGAGACTCCCCGCCCCGCAGGGCCGCACACCCTGTCCCCGGGGGGTCTCTGCCACCCGCCGGCCTCCCTCCTCACCTCTGCTTAGTACAGACCACACACAGTCCCCGGTGGTGTCACGTGTTTGGCAAATAGACCCTTTCAGCAGCCTGGGTGGGTGGGGGGTGGGGCTCAGCGAGCAGGTGGCCCGCAGGGCAGGGGGTGGGAGGGGCACTCACATTGCTGATCTGCTCCCGGAGGAGGCAGATGACCTTCCGTTGGCCCTTCACCACCTGGATGTTGAGGTAGATCACAGCCCTGCAGGAAATGGGGGAGTCGGTTGGGGTCGGGGTGGGGGGGAGGGGGGACGGACAGGATGGGGCCTGCCCCCCCCCCCCCCCCCCCCCCCGCGGGCCGGTCCTTCCCCCGGAAACCCCGCCCACCCGCACTCACAGCAGCAGGGCCGACACCAGGTAGACCGGGAAGGTGTTTTCCACCAGGTACCGGTGGACCCAGGGCAGCCAGGAGACCCTAGGGCCCGCCTTCTCCAGGCGCCGCACCCACACCTTGCCCGCTTCGTACATGGTGTCCAGGGTCCGGAAGGGGCCGCAGGTGCTGGAGGGCTTCACCCTGGGGGAGGACGGCGGCCGGCGCGTCACCCCACACCGCAGCGCCTCCCGAATCCAGGGCCGACCGCGCCCCCGCCCCCAGGCGGCAAGCGCCCACTCACTGCCACACGGCGTAGCAGAGGAAGACGGCGGCTCCCAGGAAGGACGGGAAGCAGAGCAGCGAGATGAAAACGGTGCTCATGTGGGAGGCCAGCCAGGGCCTGCGGGGCGCCTGGCAGTTGGCCATCAGGCTCGTCTGGAGGCAGAGGGACAAAGGCTGCGCTCTGCCACTGCCCTGCCGCCTGGGGGGGGGGGGCGGGGGGAGGGGCCCTGAGCCCAGACCCCAGGACGGGACGGGCTCCCCTCCCCCGGGAAGCAGACCCTCCGCGTGTGAGCGTGCGGGGTGGGGAGAGCCGGCCAGGCCAGCCTCCTGCTTTACAGGGGGGAGACCGAGGCACAGGAGGGGGGGCTCATCCACCGTCCCTCGTGTGCGGAAGAGTCCATAGAAACAACCGCCCGACTGACTGAAGGTCTCTGCTGGGGCAGGCACAGTGCCCGGTGCTTTATGAACGTCGCCTCCAGCAGGGCACTGTCCCCATCGCCCAGACGAGGAAACAGAGGGCCAGAGAGAACCTGGTTCGCAACCCCAACCCGCTCCCCTCGGCCCAGGTCGATCGAGGCCTCCGCTCAGAGCAGCTCCCAGCGCCAGGCCCTGAGGCCCGGCGCGCTCGAGGGCCCAGCAACGCCCAGGGACCCGACAGGATGCCACCCAGCCTGTGAAAGGCAGTGAGGCAGTGGGGGGGGGGGGGGGGGGGTCGGGAGCAGTCGGCTGTTCCCCGGGGACCATGGGACTGACCCCAGAAGGAGCCCGGGGATGCCGGCCCCCGACCACTCGGGCCGAGGGGAGGGTTCCAAAGCCGGGGCTCCGGGTCCAGCAGCCCGGTGACCCGCCCTGGCTGCACACTCTCCCGAGGCCCTGCCACCCTCCTGGGGGCCCAGCGGGCACCTTTACCTTCTTGATGTAGAAGAGAAACACCAGCTTGATGATCTGGACGGCAGGGAGCAGGGGAGCAAAGAGGACCCCCAGCCTGGGGAGACAGGGGCGGGGGCCGCAGTCCAGAGGCTGGGGTCACGACCCCTGTGCCGCACCCCAGGGCGACCGTGGCCCGGCCCGGGGTCGGACCTCCCGGCCGCACCCCAAGGCCGGGCCGGGCTCAGGAGCCTGGGAGGGGAGGGGTCGGGGCCCGCGTCGGTCCAGAGTCCCACGGCGGGGCCCTGCTATGGTCCCGAGCGGGGAAGGGGGCCCCGCCTTGGCCGGGCAGTGGCAGGCCGGCGGAAGATGCTCACCAGGTCAGGGTCTGCCCGTAAATCAGCTCCAGAACGTTCCCGGCAATGTCGAACTCCGGCTTCTCCTTCCTCTTAAGCTTCCTCTCAGAGATGAGCCTGGGGCAGAGGAGCCCCTGAGGGTCACTTAGGAGGCCCAGGCCCAGAGACCGGTCCCCGCAGGCAGGCACCCCGGCCGGTGACCCTCCCCTCGGGCCGAGCCGCCCACCCTGCCCGCCCCCCTCAGGCGCCCAGCTGATGTCAGGGCACACGGCGGGCCGAGGCCCCCAACCTGAGGGGCTCCAGGCTGCAGCTGACTTCCTCCCAGTCTTTTTTCTGTTTTTGTTTTTGTTTTTGTTTTTGTTTTAAGGAAACTCCACACCCAACGTGGGGCCTGAACCCACGACCCCAAGATGATGAGTCGCACGTTCCACTGACCCAGCCCGCCGGGCGCACCATCCCCTTCCCCCCTCAGTCTCTGTTCAACGTCCAGGCTTCACACGCTTCACTGTTAAACATCCCTTTTTTTTAATTACTATCAAATGCATATGTTCCCGGAAAAAAAAAACACAAACAGAAGAAAATAAAAACACTTCCAGCGTCAGCACCTGCAGCGCCCTGAAAACGTCCCTCTCCTTCCTTCCTTCCCTTTTTTCCCCTTTGCACAAGACTGAGATCACACATCATTTTGAAAACTCTTCCCCCACCCCCGATCTGAAAAGAAAACGGGGGTGGGGGGTATATCCTGTCTTGTGCTTTTCTCGGTTTGATGATGTACAGAAGAGGCGTCGTGGGTGCGGATGGACGGCCCCGATCCGGGAGGCGAGGCCCGGTTCCCAGGGGATCCCTGCCTGCCCTCTCCTGCCAGCGGGGGGTGGGGGGAGGGTGGCAGGTGCCCAGGAGGCAGGTGCCGGGACCGGGGCCTCACCTCCACACCAGCTCCCCGAAAAGCGTGTCCAGCAGTATAAAGATGAAATCCAGCACCATTAGCCGGTACAGCTCCTGGCCCACAAAGTTCTCCCAGCACTGGAACAGACCGGGACTCAGCCCCCTGTGCCCCTGGTGCCCCCGCCACCCTGCCCGCCCCAGCAGCCCGGCTGGGGGCCCTCCCATCGGCCGCAGACCAGGCCAGAGGCGCCACACGGCGGGTGCCCCCCAGCCCTCGCAGCAGGGCCGCCCCCCCCCACCCCCGCGACGGGCCCGCGGCCTCACGCCTCCCCAGCACCACCCAGGTCCCCCCTCACCTGGTCCCTCAGGACGCCCACCCTGCGGCCCAGCCAGTGGTAGCAAAGAATCCCCAGGATGACCATCTTGAGGATGAGGTTCCTGGACAGGACGGGGGAGGCGGGGGCGGTGCTGAGACGGGGTGCCGGGGGGGGGGGGGGGGGCAGGGGTCATGCCCCAGGAAGCTCCGCCCGCCCCGCCTGCACACACACCTGCAGACGGCCACGTACACCTGCAGCACTGGGGAGTCGTGTCGCTCCAGGGCCGCCAGGCTGCGGTACAGGTAGGGGGCCCCCAGGTTGAGGAGGCAGACCACCACCGGCAGGGCCAGCAGCGCCCCCCCCTGCTCAGCAGACACGGGGCTCTGTGGGAGGGGAGGAGGGGGCGGCCGTCTGGGCAGGTGCGCCGGCGGAGGGAGGGGCCCAACCGCCCCGCAGCACCTCCCTCCCTCCCTCCCCTGGAATGCGCCCACCCCAGTCCTCAAGTTCAACCCACACGGGAAGGGGGTGGGGACACAGGTGCGGGGGGGGGGGGGAGGGAGAAAGAAAAGAAAAAACTAAAAGATCAGAAGGCGGGGGAGAAGGCGCAGGGGCCCGGTCACCGAGGACCCATCCCTAATGAAGCAGGGGTCTGACCCCCTGCCCAGAGCTCCCGGGGCCGCCCGCTCCCTGCCCGTACCTGGATCATGAGCTCGGAGAAGGCGTAGACGGCCACGGTGCAGCCCAGCGTGATCGCCAGGCACAGCAGCCACACGAGGCCCAGCACCGCCACCTGCCTCAGCCGCCCGCACACGCTCCGGGGACCCTGCCGCAGCTGCCCCTCGGCCAGCAGCTCCTGCGGGCGGCAGCCAGCCCGTCACGAACCCCGTGACAGACGTGCGGAGACAGGCAGATGCGTGGGCGACACTCGCGGAGACAAAGAGGGACCTGAGCCCCCCTGTCACCTGCCCTGAGTGGGGGGGGGGGGGCCCGGCTGACTGGGAGCCCTGGGGTGTGAAGGCCGCCGGGCCACCCATGGGAGCTCCCTGAGGGGTGAGGGCCCATCAGCCGGGTCAAAGCTGGGGGATCCCCGGACACGAACCCCGGGAAGGCGGAGAACCCACAAGGCCCAGCTGGGCTACCGGCCTCGGACAAGGGACCAAACCTCGGCTCTCAGTTTGCTCACTGACAGCACAGGAAAAGAGTCCCTGCTTGCCCCGGGCCACGGGGGCGGGGCAGGGCTGCGTGCCAGCTGGAGCCCCGGGGCCTCTTCCCACTGGGGGACCAGAGAACACGGGGACTCCTGGCCCAGGGCCCCAAGAGCAGCCTCGAGGACAGGCCGACAGCAACGACCCACCCTGAGCACGCCTGACCACCAAAACCCGCCGTGAGCGGCGCGTCCCGGCTACGTGGGCTCCTGCACATTCGAGGACCGGGGACACTAGCCCCTGCCAGCAGACAGCCCCGAGAGAGAGGCGTGCACGGGAGGAAAATCCAGGATGATTCCCGGGGCCACCCTGTGTCCGGAACCCACTGTGAGCAGGGCCAAGACCCGCCCCCTGCCCGCCGCACGCAGGAGACACAGGCCAGGACTGGCATTGCGGGGACACGGGGACGCAGGGTCGGGGCAGCAGCCCCAGGGCCGCCGAGCAGCTCACCTTCAGATGAGTTCGGATGTTGTCGTGCTGGAGGCGGGAGGCCCGTCTCTGAGTCACCTTGTGGTCCCAGGAGCAGAACACGGTGATGGCATGAACCCCCGAGGTGCTGCCCACCCGGTAGCTCTCTCCAAAAGAGTGTGACATGCTGGGAGGAGCAGAGCCAGAGCCAGGCAGAGAGGTGACGAGGGGCACAGAGGGCGGGAGAAGGCAGTCAGGACACTCCCTGCAGCCGAAACCCACCACCCACTCAGAGGAGCCCTCCCAGCGCTACATGGGCCTCCCGCCACCCACCCCCCTCTCCTCCAGCCCTGCGCTCCGGGCATCCCGCTGCAGACCGCTGGCCACCCTCGATCAAGCCTGTCGTCAGGCCTGTCTCATACGGTACTCGCCAGCCATACGCAGCTAGACGAGGGCTGTGGCTCCAGGACCCACTGATGTGGCCGGCTGCAGAATATGCCGGCTGACCCCGGGGCCTTTGCACTGCCTGTGCCGAGAACCAAAACACTTTCCTCTGCTTCTCCCCTGCCTGCTCGTGTTTAACCTCCCTGTCTGACACGCCCCTCGGAAGCCAGCCTGACTCGTTCTCCCACACTCCATAACAGTCGGCAAAGGCCTCTAAGACTCTGGATTTTCCCAGCTTCCTCACTGGTCCGACTGCTCCCCTAGACAGCAGGTTCCTCAAGG